ACAGAGAGCCAGAAAGCAAGAAATAATCCCAGGGTGGATGACACACTGCATGCAATCCTTTCTCCTCCATTCTCCTCTTGGGATTTTGGGCAGGAACGCACATGTGCCTGGTGTGAGTTTTAAGCCACCAGTTTCGGGACTTGAACTGTGGTCAACTACATGGGAGCCCAGCAACATAGTCATTAGGCCATCTGCTTGTCCCTATTTTTTATATATATAAATTCAGTCACTGTACATCTTTTTATTTTGAGAGGTTTTCGCTATAGGGTGCGTGTGCTCGCCAGACAGACAGAGAGAGACATAGAGACAGAAAGCGAGAAATCACCTCCCAGGGGGGATGGTCACGCTGCAATCCCTTCTCCTCCATTCTCCTCTCAGGATCTTGGGCACGCACGCACCTGCACCCGGCGTGAGTATTAAGCCACCGGGTCCGGGATGCGAACCGCGGTTGACTACGTGGGAGTCCAGTGACATAGCCATTACGCTAACTGCTGGTTCCCAGTCACTGTACATCTTTATAGCATACAAAGTGTGTTTTCCCGGCAAACTTTGATGAAATTTAACTGATTATTTCCTTTATGCACTATACATTTGGTGTTCTAATAACTCTACCCAACACAAGATTATATTTACTGTGCTTTCTTTTAAAATATCTATAATTTCTGCTATTAAGATCTATGATCCACTTTCTGTATATGATGTCAGGTACAGTTTAAATTAATCTTTTTGCATGTGGACATGCAATTTTTTTTAGCATCATTGGTTGAAAAGACCATCTTTTCCCCCACGGAGTTGCTTTGGAACCTTTAAAAAGACCAGTTTACCATAAATATAAGGGTTTGTTTCTAGACTTCCCATTTGATTATATACACACACATCCACTGTGTATTAGTTTATCTCTATGCCAGGGCCACACTGTCTGGGTTATTTTTAGCTTTGTAGTAACTTCTGAAATCAGGAAGTGGAAGTCTGAGTTCTCCAACTTCATTATTCTATTCCAAAACTGTTTTGGCTCTTACAGGCCTTTTATATTCATTTTAGAATCATACTGCCAATTTTTGCAGAAGTGCCAACTGAGATTTTGGTAAGGATTGCACTGACTCTGCAGATCAATATGGGAAGAACTGCCATCTCAGTAACACTGAACCTTCCAGTGTACAAGTATGAACTACCTGATACATTTTTAAAAGAATGCATGATTTTAAAAAATATTTCAAAACAATTCCATTATGTCAATGATTCTCTGACAAAGAATCTTCTGTTTTATGGCTGAAGGGAATTTCAGAATGAAGATTAAAAAAAAAAAGTACAAGTGGTTCTTTGTGTAACTTTCGAACAATCACTAAGTTACTAATAAGTCCCAAGTGCATTCGGAGTAACTTTTCTCTCTTGAATCATGGGATGGTGAGTCACCCATCTGAAGCCCATTCTGAGGAAATACTTTACGGGTATTCATAACAAACATGTATACTTTTCTATATAAATCAATTAAGCCATCTGGAAATTGGTACAATTCTACCCAAGTGCAGTCCCTTTTCAAGTTCAGCAGTTGTCCTAGCTAGCCCTTTCCTTGCAAAAGGACTGACTCGGGGCTGCAGGCTGCACTGAAGCTCTCCTCTCTCAGCTCCCCTTTGGAAAACAGAAGCTTCTCACAGTTCCCTCGACTCTTGGCACCATGATCTGTGAAGGCTGCAGGAAGCTGCACTGTGGGTGCTTCTCACAGGGGTGTCTGATGTTCCCATGTGGTTAGCTACAGGTGAGCACTTTGGCAGGAACATCCCTGGGATGATAATGCTCTGCCCTCTAGCCCTCTAAGTGTTGCACGACCTCACTGCACCATTACTGACAGCACTGGCTGCCTGGTTCAGGCTCCTTCACTGTGATGTTTCCCTTCTCCTCATTATAACTTTCTTGTGAATGGCTAGTATATAAATCTTTGGTCATCATCAAGATTTTATGTCTGAATAATTTATTTTTAACTCAAAGTATTAAAATCTGTTGTAGGGACCAGCAGTTAGTGTAATGGCTATGTTGCTGGACTCCCATGTAGTTGATCACGGTTTGAGTCCCGGCCTGGTGGCTTAAACTCACGTCAGGCGCGTGTGTGTGCGTGCGTGCGTGCGTGCCCAAGATCCCGAGAAGAGAACGGAGAAGAAGGGATTGTGGCATGGCCATCCCCCCTGGGGGGTGATTTCTCACTTTCTGTCTCTCGGTCTCTGTCTGTCTGGTGAGTGAACACACCCTATAGCAAAAACCTCTCCCCCCCCAAAAAAAATCTGTTGTAATCTTTATAGTGATGCTTAAATTGTCCCCAAATTGGCCAGTGGGAGCGCCTTTATTCTTTATTCCTTGCTTTCTAGCTTAAATAGACATTCCAAGGCCAGCTTGCACATATCCTGTCCCAAGCCTAAAACCAATCATTTCTCGAAGAAGCTCACTGTAGAGGAAAAATGGTATTTCATAGCCAAGATCTGGATGCTGCTCACAGCTTCTGGGGCCTGGCTGCTACCTCCGTCTTCTCATGGACAGAGCTAGGGAGTGTGTGTACATGTCCTTGTTCGTACACACAATAACACACGTCTGCATCGATGTTTCCATGTCATATGTAGAAAAGCACAACTTTACAGTAACCTATCTAAAGGTAACCCATCATCAAAGGGTGACTGGTCTTTCTTTTGGTATCTATACGACCTTTATCAAATGGAGGAATCTTGCTCTTATTATTTTTTAGAAGGTATACTTGTTAGCCAGTCCATCTCTGCCACCATGTACCTCCAGAACAAGCTGACTCTCCTGCCCTTGCTCACTCTCCCTGGCTCCCACATACCTATATGCCAGTGTCCCTCTGTGCTGCCTCTTAAATTTTATACCTTCGTGCCTCTCCTGCTTCCAGACCAACTGAACTGCATGGAAAAAGATAATTGCTTAGTTTTTAAAGAAGAATTATCCATTTAATTTTTATTTATTATTATTAGTATTATTAATTTTGCTATAGGGCATGGGCACATGAGAGAAAATGAGAAAGCAAGTCACCAAGTCTGGGACTCAAAACATGGTCGGCCATGTGGGAGTCCAATGCTATAATCAGGACGCCACCTGCTGGCCCCAGCATAACTGTTATTTTAACTTTTGTGTTAGTGATTGTGCATCAAGACCTAAGGGGTGTGTGTGTGTGTGTGTGTGTGTGTGTGTGTGTGTGTTTTAGCAAGTCCATCAGGATCTGTTTCTATAGAGGATTTTAGGAATTGAAGAAGTTTATAGCTACTCCATATTTTTATTGTTGCAAGGACAATCAATGGAACACTGTGATTTTTCAGTGATTTCTCAATTTCCAGGAAAGATATTCATTAGATAAAAGTTCATTGTAACTTTGACAACCACTCAAAGATTTTCTATTGTTATTGGGAATTCACAAAGAGGCTTTCCTTCAACAAACACCTGCTCTGTGGACCTGGTGGGGTGTCAGGAGTGGAAGTCTGCAGATGCCAAAGTCTCCCACTCCTTGGCTTTGATTTCCTGGTACCCTTTGCCAAATGAAACGGTCACCCTTTAAAGGCAGCAGTTCAGAACAGGCTTCTGCCCTCCTGCTCAGTGGGGCGTATCCGTCTAAGGGCATTTTGGAATGATGTGTTCTGAGCTAGTCCTTTACACCCCCAAATAACTCACAATGCTATTTATTATATTTTGGATTGAGGCAAAACTGTTAAATATTTATTCAGTTTTGTTTGTTTTCCCGAGTTTAAAATTGCCCTAATTAGAATGTCAATTGTTTTAAAAAAATACAGAGTTAGATATTAATCCAATTTAATACTACCAAGTATTATGAATGCATTAAAAATAATTGGTTATTAGGCAAAAAATAAAATTATAGCCAATTTCATACTGTAGATTCTCAGGTTATAAGTGTATTCATGTATATTTATTTGTAACTATTTTATGCAAAAAAAATGTATGGGTAAAATTTTGTACTTGTGATTGCTTTTAAAATGTCCCATAAAAAATGGGAAAGAAAAAAGTAATGGATAAAGCAGAATTGATAAACTGTTGATACATGTGAAACTGGATGATAGGCAATGGTGTTTATAGCAGACTTTATATACTTATGTTAAACAATGTGAATAACAAAAAGCCCATATGCTACATTAGATAATAAACTCTGGGGGTTGGCAGGTGGTGTGGTGGTTAAGGGTGCTGGACTCCTACATGGCCAACCGTGGTTCGAGTCCTGGACTTGGCAGTTTCCTTTTTCTATCTCTCTCTTGCTCTGTCCCTCTCTGGTCAAATTAAACTAACAAACTAACTAACTAACTAAATAAATAAATAAAGTTAAATAATAAAATAATTCTTAATAAAAAAAGAAACTCTGAAAGACTATGTCAAATGCTAGTAGTGGATATTTATTGGTACCATTTTTTTAGGTGGTATGACTGTTGATGGTTTTATTTTCTACTAAAATTTCTACAATAAATATATATATGTAATTAGAAAAAAATGCCCCAAATGCATCATTTACTAATCCTGCCACTCATTTCTTTCACATGCATTGGCTGAGTTTTGGCTTCCAGCAGAGAACAGCCATGTTAGAGCCCCACCTGGATCTCCCCAGCCAAAAGTCATCTCCAAATAATAGTCCGGGAGAAGCCCAAGGAAGCCCAGAACCAGTAATGCCTGCTGAGCCATGAAAAACCCCAGGCTAGGCATGACTGCCAGACTCTGAAGGCTTAAGAATCAAGCCTAAAGTGGGATCTTCTGACAGACAGTGAGAAGGCAGGCTCTAAATGCCTGTAGGGGCTGTTATTTCTGTAGGCTTCCTGAGAACATCAGAGGTGCTGGAGGAGGTGAGAGCCTCACCAGGTGCCACTCTGTCCCAAGAGCTGGGTCCACCGGCAAGGGACAGGCAGTGAGTGCTCAGGTATCTGGCCAGGCCAGAGGTCTAGAAAGGAGGGTGTGTGATTTCTTTCTTTCTTTTGAATTATGAAGATATTACAGAGGACTCTCACCTGCAGAGGCACCACAGGACAAATCCAAGTCCACAGTAAGGGTCCAAACAGATGGCCACTTCTCTAGAGGGGTAAAGCTCACACTGCAGCTTAATAGAACGGCAGAAGGCACTGGTGGCTGCGTGAGACATCTGGAAGACAACAAGCTGCATTCAATGCGTGGCACCTGGCACAACATGCCCAGCCCTCTATAAGAAGACCAGCTATATTAAATGCATGACACCTGGAGCCAAATGTCCACCATCTACAAAATAGCAAAGCTGCATTAAACACCTGGCACCTGCAATCAAATGCCCAAATATCTGTAAGGTGACAAGACCACATCAAATGCCCCCCCCCAAATGTTTCTTGAACAAGGTTAACTCTAGCCATGTTTGGATTATATGTGTTAGGGAAGAATGCCCTCTTGATGTTCTCATTAGACTTCTCAGTTCAACAAGTAAACCAGACAGAAAACTTCCTGATCCTTCAGGATCCAGTAATAGTAACAAATGAAACACTGATGTCTTTCATTTGAGTAGAGGGCTAGACATAAAGGGTTCTTGTGGTGTGATCCCCACAACGGCCTGCAAAGTACGTAGAGACGGTATCACGGCTCACGACCACCTCTGCAGGTAGGGACCATGCCTTGGTCCACATCTTTAGCACCTGTCATGCAACAGGTGGCCAGAAATACACCTTGGATGGATCACCTATGTCTGATGATTAAGAAATGGAGGCTTAGGAAAGGTGAAAAGTTTCCCAAAGGTCACATAAGTTACATCTGGGATTAGAACCAGGCCCTCCAACACTGAGCCCAATGCCCTTTCCACTGAATGGCCTTCCTACTGTGAGGCCTCAGCTGAGATCTAGTCCCAGCCTAGTACCGAGGCTGTGGTGAGAGCACTCTGTCCTTCTGTCACCTAGTCCCAGTCCAGCATCCCTTTGGGGACAATCATAAAGTAACTGTAAATGCTGCATGGGCCCTTTATGTGACGTGTCGATCTTGAACAAATGCACATCTAAGATCGATTAGAAGACTTTGGAATTGGAATCCATACTTGTAAACAGGTAAAATTAGAAAACTTACTCTATAAACACATACTCATGAGTTTTATTAAAAATTTGACATTCTAGAGTCCCCATTATGGAGAAAACAGATTAAAGGACAAAGTTGTCTCTCCTCGTGTTTAGGGTATGTAACTGAATGCTCAATGGGATTTTTATACAAAAGTAGAAATCAAATAAAATTTTTTTCAGTTTTTTTTTTTTTTCCCCAGAGAACAATGGTCACCTTTGCAACCCACGAGTTCAGAGGGGGAAGGACTTCTACCCAGAGCAGATCATAAGCCATTTCCACTCTATCTTACGCCTCTCAGTACTTAATGCATAACCAGCTTCACAATAGTTTCCATGTCAGGTATTCATCCCACAAACTAAATGGTCAAAGTCTTCAAAAATGTTTTAAGTTTTGGAGAAAGTATAGTTATTTCTCTTTCAGGGTTTCCTAGAGTACATAACTTAGATTAAGTGGAATCACCAGGAAATAATAACCATAGATCACATTATCTCCATTCCATGTAAAAAATATCTTTATTGAATCAAAATGTAATATTGTGGCTTCCACTTCTGTAGACTGTGAATATGATATGATCAAAAGCACGCACACGGCTCTCTCTCGCCTGTGAGGGCTGGAAGCCGAAAGCTGACTTCGGTACTGTGATAACTCAATCATCTTTTTCTATAAAGCTTTCCTTTAAAAAGTTTCCGAACAATTACTTTATTCCATATTGTAGTTAATTTGGTATACTACCTCAAATTCTACTGGAAAGTAGATGACATCTGAGAATAAATGAGGTGAATAAAGCAAACGCCCTAGTCAGACCTGGAGAAAAAGATACCAGAGAAAAAGGTTCCTGAGGCTATGGAGAATTTAATAGTTCACTTTTTGCACAGCACCTCGACAGGGACACCACCTGAGCTGCAAGGGAGAGAATTCTGGATGATGTATTAGTAGCTCCTTTCTTTGATAGGAAAAGGGATCATTGCAGCTTCCCTGAGCAGCAGTCTGGCAAATTATAATGCAGCCCAAGTTACAAAAGCAAAACGCTTCAGACTAATACTCTGACTGACTTACATTAGAGTATTAGACTTGAGAACCAGCAAGAAAACATGTATAGGATTTGTCAATGGGCTAGTGAGACTGTATTTACAAAACGGAGTAGCTGGAACATCTGGAAAGAATCTGTCAGCCTAGTTCACTGTCGCAATGGCCATATATATCATAGCTTGACATAAATGGGCACATACTTCTCTTTCACTGCAGTTCGATCACATGTAAGAACACATACGATGCTTGTTACTTGACTATCCTTGGTCTATACATCACACAGACTCCACGTCTCACCTTTACGCCCGCTAGCATCCCAGTCGTGGACACGCTGAAGTCAAGGTAAGCCAGTGTGTCTGGGTTAGACGGTTTATAGATCTGGGCAGGCCGCTTCTTTGGCAAATCATCTGGAGAGCAGAAAAAAAAAAAATCTGTTAGTGTATTTGACCTAATTATAAACCATATACACAAGCCAACTTATCAGTCAGTTCAAGTCTTAACCTGTGTCCAGTATGAGGGGCCACGTCCTGACATCTACAGCTGCTGCCGCCTCCCTGGACCGTAACAATTTACAGATCAGCTGTGTTGTCATCAGACAGGCAGAGCGACTCACCTGAGGATCAGAGAACAGGGCAGGGTGAATGACCAAAGGACACATGAGAAGTCAGCAGGTGCTCCTGCACAGGTGCCTAGTGTTCATGATGGTAAGACCATGTATTGGGTTGCGGGAAAAGTCAAGATGTATTTTTCTATGCAAAAATGCATCATGACTTTTCCAATGACCCAACAGTTCTAAGAGGCAGACTACAGACCAAGAGTGCTGCTTCCTTCTTAAGAGCTGACGGAGGTATAAGAGAGCCAGGAATCTGACCACAGGCACACACAGCAGAGCACAGGGGACGCTGTGAGGCCCCTACAGCTGCAGTCCCTGGAGCCAAGTGGTATCCACAGCATTATGCTCACACTCAGAACAGAGCACGACACTACCTGTTCTCACCGCTCACTCCACCCTGTATGAGAAACAGGACAGATACTGAGATCTGTCCTAAGCAGTCATTAGTGGACTAACTACTATGAAAGTACTCTGGTGTAACTTCAACTGTGCTCAGCCTGGGACAGGACATTGGAATCTCTGTCCCCCAACCACTTTGCTCATAATGCTTCTTCCTCCAACAAAGGAAAAAAAATTCCTAATCCTCTTAAGTTTCCCCAAATATAAAATAATCGAGACTAAGCTACACTTTTAAAAATGAACCAGAGGGACCAGAAGTTGGCATAATGGCTATGTCACTGGACTCCCATGTAAGTCAACCACGGTTCGAGTCCCGAACCCAGTAGCTTAAACTAATGCCGGGCATGTGTGCATGTGTGCCCAAGATCCTGAGAGGATAATGAAGAAGGATTTGTGGCATGGCCATCCCCCCTGGGTGGGTGATTTCTTGCTTTCTGTCTCTCTGTCTCTCTCTGCCTTTCTGGTGAGTGTACATGCCCTATAGCAAAAACCTCTCCAAAAAGAAAACAAACAAACAAACAAACACAATAACAAAAAAACAACAGAAACTACTACATCTTGAGGAAAGAGCTTATAAATGTTTTGGTGGGCTAGTTTGATCAGTTGGGTTTAGTGGGGAAACCTCCAGTTACATGAGGAATGCCCATCACTAGGAAGTTGTTTTGTCTCTTCAACACGTGGCAGGGACTGCTACCACCTAGCCCTGACTTGTATGCACAAGTTTAAGACTGGTTCCCAGAACTATTGGGTCATTTTTATATAGAAAAATGCATCATAACTTTCCCGACGACCCAAATAAGTCATAAGTGCCCTGAAGGTAAGGTCATTTTCTGTCCTACTGCCTTGGTTCCACACACATACCCATAGCCAGCATATACCCTACAAGATTTTAGGATCTGTGATTTGCAAGCTCAACACTCAGATCCCAGAGAAGTGAAGCACCCCAAAACCCAGGTATCTGTTACCTCCACAATCATCTTGACAGTAGGCAGCGTGGTTGCAATGTTCTGTGGGTGCGGAGGACGGACGGTTATTGGCACACAGCCTGCATACAGGCAACCGTAAAATGCGGCAATAAGGTCTATTCCTACGTGAGGAGGGAAAAAAACACAAAAATTCCTATATGAAGCAAACCTCACTGTTGACTGCCTCCCTGTCAGCATAAATACCAGTCTGGCAAAAGTGAGATGGTTACATGAGCAACTGACACTCTGACAGACTCCTTTGTCCCCGTGGGTTTTGGGACACTTTGGTGATCACTTTCATTTGGCTTGTCAATGCAGTCTAGAAGTTTGCTTTTTTTCTGTCATGAAGCATTTTTCAAATTCATGACATGAATTTAAAGATCTAACAATTGTTAAGTGAAATACCTTAGGTACCTAATAGAACACACTTAGATATGGAAGTCTTTGTACATAAGGCTTTACTGAAACTGCTAAAAGCAGTATACTATGTAGCCCAGTCCCTGCCATCGTAGTAAACAGACCCAAACCAGCCCCATTAGAATCTAAGTGAACACAGTGTGAATTCTTGGCAAAAGAGCAGCCCCCCTGCTCAGACACCACCTTCACACCTCACCGTCTCTCTAATCAAGCCCAGGCCTGGCTCTGTTACCTGGTGGGTAGACTAAAGCAACGTGATCTCCGTCTTGCAGGTGCCCCCTCTCCATCAGCATCACGGCTATCTTTTCAGCTCGCTTATGAAGCTGCACACACGTCAGCGAGTTGGCTATCGTACCCTGAGGATCGTGAGAACAAGTGGTTAAGGGAGACCCATTTTTTTTTTTGGAGAGATTTTTGCTATAGGGTGCGTGTGCTTGCCAGACAGACAGAGACAGAGAGACAGAAAGTGAGAAATCACCCTCCAGGGGGGATGGTCATGCTGTAATCCCTTTTCCTCCATTCTCCTCTCAGGATCTTGGGCACGCATGCACACGTGCCTGGTGTGAGTTCTAAGCCACCGAGTCCGGGATGCGAACCGTGGTCAACTACGTGGGAATCCAGCAACATAGCTATTACGCTAACTGCTGGTTCCCAAGGGAGACCCTTTTAACACAATAGCTTTGTTGATATATAATAGTTCACACATCATACAATTCATTTCTTTAAAATGTCTCATTCCTTAGTGTTCATTATTAATAGTCACAGTTTTGCAACCATCAACACAGTCAACTTTAGAATGTTTTCTGCATTCTCACTGTCCAACACCATAGACATTAGACGCCACCCCCATTTTCTCCCAACTAGGTAAGAAGTACAGCAACGAAGAGGCATCTAGAGTTATAATACTTGTGTTAACAAGAAATACATTTTGGGGAGAGATTTTTGCTATAGGGCGCATGTGCTTGTTGGAGAGACAGAGAATCTGAAAGTGAGAAATAACCCCTTGGCAGAGGAGAGGGGATGGTCATAGAGCAACCCCTTCTCCTCCATAACAAATACTTTTTTAAAATTTTGGGGCCAGCTGGTGGATTGGTGGTTAAGATGGCTAGTGGACTGTGGTTCAAGTCCCAGACCCGGCAGCTTGAAAAACATGTGGGGCATGCATGTGTGAGTGCCGAAAATCCCAAAAGGAGGGAGACATGGAGAAGGGATTGTGGTGCGACCATGTCCATGAGGGGTGCTTTCTCAGTTTCGCTCTCTTTCTCTGCTTGTCTCCAGTAAGTGCATGGGCCTTCTGGCAAATTTTTTTTTTTAAGTTTTTATTTGTTTACTTCTTTCAAGAAACACACACACACACACAGGTACCCAAATGGGGTCTTCACACCATCTTCTACCCCAGTCAGCCAGGATCATAGCACACATGTGCATGCCTGGTGTGTACAGGAAGTCTTTGGGACGTGACCCAGGATTTTCTCAAACGACTTCAGCCCTGGCCAGCAATATGTTACCTCTGTGCCACCATGGATGGCCAACTTGGGGACCAGCAAGTAGTGTGATGGTTAAGGTGCTGGACACTCCCACATGGCCAACTGCGGATTGAGTCCTGGACCTGGTGGCTTGCTTTCTTACTTTCCCTCTCTCTCTGTGTGTCTCATGCTGGTCAAATTAAAAAAAAAAAAGAAGAAGAAGAGGAAGAGGAAGAGGAAGAAGAATGATCTCAACTAAAACATAGCTAAATTCAAAATAAAATAAAAAAAAGAAGAAGAAGAAGAGGAAGAAGAATGATCTCAACTGAAACATAGCTAAATTCAAAATAAAACGAAACTCATTAATTTTAGGATTTAAATGTAATTGTAATGGACAGTAAGCAATTACCAGTCAATGTGTAGACCTCATACACTGGTAAATAAGAGTAAATAAAAATGTTTTTTCAGAAAGACCACACCATAAATGAAGATGGTTTAAACACACACACACACACACACACACACACACACCACACCAAAAAACCCCAAACAAACCCAGACCCCCAAAAGGAAATAAGAGACCTAGAAAAAAATACCTTAAAAAAGGCTTGTTAGTGAAGATAGCCATAGAAAGATTCATACTAAGAAATATCAAAACAGTATGGGAATCACTGTTTAAACTACAAAGTGCGAGTAAACTGTAATCACAAACATTCACAAAACGGTTTTCCTGAGGATATACTTTACAATTATTCATTTACATCAGTCTCAGAACTGAAGATTGTTGTCCTCAGCTACTTAAAAAACTCCATCTTTATGATCAAATTCTAGTTTAAAATGATTAACAGGGTAAGGGGCCTTTTCTTAATCACAGTTTTGGCTTGTGGGGTTAGGAAGATTGCAGAAGCTGACAAGTAACCATCCACAGTTTGGGCTAGAAACCGTGTCTTTAAGTAGGTGGCTGCAGCGAAAATGTGTGAGCCGGGGAGGAGCAGAAAAGAACAGTGAGCCACCAGAGCAGACTGGAAGGGACTGGACACAAATGATTCAATGTTGCACACAGAGAAGACCGAAGGGAGCTGGCAGGAGGGTCACGCGTGTGAAGAGGAGAGTGCTGCATGGGTGGGCGGAAGTGACCAGGGCCTCTGGGGTACCAAGGCGAGAACATGCATGTAGGTGGGGTGGGAGGTACCTGGAAGGGATAGCACATCTGATAACACCACAAGATACAAACGCCAACCCCCAACTTTCACCAAAAGTGTCCACGAGACAACTGGTTCTCACAGCTAGCCCTGGAAGCTCAGCTCACATTTCTCTGAACTGAACCTTCTCATCACACACATTCCCCTTAACTATTTTCCCCTAGAGGAAGGTGAAAAAAATAAGAAAATTGAAACAGGCTTATAAACTAGAACCAGTGAGCAGAATGTGGCAAAGGTGGAAGAAAAACCAAGAGGAATTGTGAAACTGGAGTCTAAAAAGTGGGGCCAAAAGTTAGAGTCTGTTGGTCTTCAACTTGACAGTCCCTCTGAGCATGTACTCATAGACAGCCCACCGATCACACAAAGCAAAGCACACACACGGCTTCACTCAAACATCCTCTAAGCTTTTCAAAATGAGGATGGGACAAAAAGTACCTGCACAGCTGATAGTGAGGCCTAGGGACCACCCCTCCCCACACGCAAGTCACCACTGATGCTAGGAGGGGGTGATCTTTGAACGAGGAACAGCCACTACCACCACCACTGAGGATGCACGAGCTCAAGGGTACTGCAGTGGGGCACGTCTCAGACGAGCATGCTGGCAAAACTGGCGGTACTCCTGTTCCCTCCTGTCATGTGGGGGTCCCTGGACCTGTTGCCCACTGCTACAATGAGGGCCCTTCAACAGCACCAGTCTCGGTCTGATTTATTCAGTTTCGGGAATAGGTTTTCCCTCATTCTCTGGAGAGCTGACATTGGCCCCCTGTCAAACCAGCTGTCCCATCAGATGACAAAGCCTGTAACTTGCTGGCTTTCTGGGGTCTTGATATCTGAGAGGTCACAAAGGCACACAACCAGCAGCTAGGAATGCACAGAAAATGTGTTTTGATTGTGGGTCAGAAAAATCCCACCTGTGGGTACTTACAAGATGGGGAATTTAACCAGCATGCTGTCCTTTACGTGTGGTTACCTTCTGGACACAATTTTCACAGTACCATTTTACTGTCTTACGAGATTACTACGAAAACTAACAACGAAACTTCATGTCACACTGAGATAATGGCACAGGTGAGCAGCACCCTTTGAGGGGTAAAGTTCTAAAGTTAGTACATAGGGTGACTTGAAATTAATCAAGTTATCCTCAGCGGTCTCTTAAGAAGTGTCAGGCTGGACAGAGGCTCATTATTTATGGACAGTGACACAGCAGCTTTTCCCACAGCTGAAGCTGGTTCGTGTCACTGCCTGACTTTCCTGCATGGACACAACAGGTCGATTGAATGATGGCTTCTCCCAAGAACTGCAGGGACTCTCAGTGGGGCAGACGCTCACAGATGTGTGCAGGGAGCAAGAGCCACTTCCTAACCTGACATCCAGGGTTCCCATCTCACCATACTGCAGCACTCTGAGGGGTGCCTCACAGAGGATTCAGTCTGAATGCCCACGCTAGTGATGACGATTCTCTTCCCCCACCTTGCCAGCCTGACTATGCCATGTCCCCACCATGGAACGCATCACATAGGGCCCCTTCGAGATGGCTCATTACTGCTCAGTTTTTGGGAGTCTTAACACAACTTTTGACCTCAGGTGAAATGCCACTGATTTTCAGTTACATGTTTCTTTATCCAAGTACCAGTTGTTCACAAAAGCATGGAATGTTCTAGGTGTTACCCTCAGGTAACAGTGGTCATTTTTTGGCATTTCAACAATATTCATGGGAAACACTGGGGTTTCCACACTGAAACTCATTTCCTAAGAGGAAAGTTCTAGGTAAAACTAGTGCACCAGAGAAACCAGGGTTGACTTCCTAAAATAAGTCTCGGGAAATGTAACAGCATGGTAATTCAGGAAAACCTGCAAGCCAATCCCTAGTCTAAAGAAAACAAATGTAAGTACCAATGACTGTAAATCTGGCATCATTTGAAGGTTTATAGTAAATCAAATAACAACTGAAAATATATTAAGGAATGAAGAAAAACCCAAATGGGATTTTAAAATTCTAAACAAACAGTACTGCAAGTTAAAAAAAAAAAATATATATATATATTGAAAAAATTGGCTGGTATTTTCTTAAAGAAAAAGAAATGGGCACTCTTTCATATGTAAAAAGGGGTCAAGAATATAAGTTCTCCATTATTTGCAATAAATTATATGCTTACTTTCTACTATAAATCATGCAGAACTCTTAGACCTTATTACCTCATTGGTAAGGCAGGGGAGCCTATGAGTGAATGCTATATCACTCACACCTACAAATGTGATTTCAACTATTTTAGATAAATCTGTAATCAGGTCAAGTTAGTGAGACGTACTCAAATTTGTAATCAATAGCAAAATGCCGTCTCAGACGGAGGAGCTGGCTGCATGTGGCCATCGAGCAGAAATGAGGCGGCCAGTGCCATATGCTGAGTCGTGATACTTTGGATATGCTGAATTAATAACAGAATGGACTTCACCTGTTTGTTTTCACTTTTTATAATATTGCTTTTAGGAAACAGGCAATTATAATGTGACTATACTGTGTTTCTATTGGGCAGCTCTGAACTGGAAAGCTGACTTAAGTGGAGATTACACTATATCCATAAAAATGCTGCTGACTCACGGTTCAGGTCTTTGTTGTAAGTGCATACGAGGCAGCAGGGAGTGAGAAATGAACACAGACCTTGATCCGATGCTGTAAGGAGACGAGCA